AGTGATTGGGTCTGGGTGCGGGCATGGTCGTGGTCTCAGCGCTGGGACTGGAGGATCACTGTAAATTTGAGGCTCCACTGGAATACGGACTGAGACCCTGTCTCAAAACAGCCTGAGATGGAGCGGGGCTGAGGCTCGGCAGAGTGAGTGCGCAGCACCGGATGGTGGCAGCGGAGGCTGAGCTGCACATAGCCGACCTGGTCCTCGGGGAGCCCATCTGGGGAGCGTTTGTGATGTCCTCCGCTTTCTCCCAGGGTCCGGAAGACATCCCTGCTGCGACCAAAAAGCACCCTGGCTTCCTGCCAGGCGACGAGGCCCACCACCCGCTGTCCCCGGGATGCGATCTTGAGACCAACCTCTGAGGGCGGGGCCCAGAAGGCCAATCGCGCGCCGCGGGCCAGCAGTCTCCTCTCTGATTGGCTGGACGGGAGCGTGTTCAGAAGCTTGGCTGGCACAGGCCCCGCCCCCTCCGGGGTCCCCGTGTCCCACCCTCACCCAAACGAAGAGGGATGGTTCTCCACCCACAAAGGAAACGCCTGGAACCTTCGGGACCTTTGTAGAGCTGCGGTCAGTGGCTGAGCCACCCAGGCCCATTTAATAGGCAGAGAAACTGAGGGCTGTCACCCAGACAACTGGAGAGGTTCAGAAATTCAAGGTCAACCTCAGCTACACAGTGTACTTGAGGTCAGCCTGGACACCCTGTCCCAAAACAAATAAATAAAGGTAACCTGGCCTGGCCCCATGCACGGCGGTAAAGGGCTTGCCCAGCACACAGTAGGCACAGGGTCCCATCCCCACCACTACGAAAGAGTTCTTTTAACACTGGAAAGCACAGACACAGAAACCAAGGCAGAGGGAGAGTGAGGTGTCTCCAGGACACAGAGCACCAGGATTGCTGGAGATGCCAGGAGGTGCAAAGGGACAGATTTTCAGAGGGTTCACAAGACGCACGGACATGGTGACAACTTGAGTGTGAACTTGTGGTTTGCAGAACTATCAGAGAACATGTTTCTTTTGTAATCAGCCACCCATCCTCTGCTAATTCCTTACAGCTTCCAGGAGACCCCATATATGTCACCTCCCAAGCTCTCCACCCTTCACCTGGGTGCATGCTAGGCAAGTGCTCTACCACAGAACTACACACCTAACCCTCCAATTTTTTTTTGACACAGGGTCTTACAGAAGTCTGACCTATGTCTACTTATCTCTCCATGCTTTTGTGTATATCAATATTCCACTCATTTTCAATGCCAAGTAGTATTCCATTGTGTGGACATACGACAGTGTGCCACCCATGCCCAGCAGGATAGCTAGATTGTTCCCAGCTTTTGTCTACAATGAATAAAATTGCTGTGGCTGTTCATGTACAATTGGTATCAGTATGGAACCCATAGATTAAAAAATATTTGAAAAGAAAATTTATTTTCTTATTGAACATATATGGTCTTCTTTTGGGGTCCTGGTTCCCTAGACAAATAGTGTAAGAAATATCTACAGAAAACCTAATCTCTACACTCTAAGGGAATCTACAGAAGCAAGTGGCACCTGAGATCCCGGCCCTCAGAAAGCTGAGGCAGAAGGGGTGCTAAGAGTTCCAGACTCAAAAAGAAAGAAAGAAAGAAAAGAAGGAAGGAAGGAAGGAAGGAAGAAAGGAAGGAAGGAAGGAAGGAAGGAAGGAAGGAAGGAAAAGGGCAACAAGCAAGCAAATAAGTGGACAGTCATGACCTGGTAAAGGTTTGTTGTGTGTGCCAGAGGCTCTGTTCCCAGAATGAGAAAAGTCTAGAAGATTGTCTCAGCAGCCACTCCCAAATAACGACACAGAGACTTATTAATTATAAATGCCCGGCCAATAGTTCAGGGTTGTCTCCAGCAAGTTCTTACAATTTAAATTATTTCTGTTAACCTTTGTACGGCTCCGAGACTCTTTTACCTCATCTGTGAACATCTTTCTAGTCTGCCTCTCGAATCCTCAGACTCTGCTCCCTTTCTTCCCAGCATTCCCTTAGTCTGGTTCTCCCGCTTAACCTTTTCCTGTCTGGCTACAGGCCAGCCAGCTTCCTTATTAAACCAACCAGTGACAAATATTCACACAGTGTAAAGGAATATTGTAGGGGACAGTAAACCATGCCTGTTAGAGGCTGTCAGGGCGTGGTCAAGGTGAGGGCGACATCGGGCACATGGGAGCCCTTCCCTCTGGCCTTGCTGCTCAGCTGCCCTGGGTACACGCTCTAGCTTGCATTTGGCTGGTGTTTTTCTAATAAAAGGATATCCTTATCGTAAGCTCCTTTTGTTCCTTGATAGAATATTCCACAAGACTGTGCACCAGGGCTCTGTGCAAACACCTTGTGTGGGGGCCCTAAGCAGGCACCACCTCCTGGAAGCCACGCCCCTCAGGTCACTGTACTTTGGTTTCTCCTGAGGAACTTGTTTCTTGGGTGGCCATGACCTGGCTGGCTCCTATGGCAGAGGCATGTTTAATTTGGGGGGCCAGACTGAGACAAAGTATATGTAGCCCAGGCTATCCCCTCCCTTACTGTGTAGCTCAGGAAGACCCTGAACACTTCTACCTCCACCTCTCCAGTGTTCATTTTGTCAAGCAAGAAGTTCAGGAGCCTCCGACATCCTCTCCTCCAGGACCTACCACTTCCTTTCTATCTATCTAGCCATCTATCCATCCATCCATCCATCCATCCATCCATCCATCCATCTATTGGTTTTCTGAGACAGGGTTTCTCTGTGTAGCCCTGGCTATCCTGGCATTCGCTCTGAAGACCAGGCTGGCCTCAAACTCACAGAGATCCACCTGCCTCTGCCTCCTAATTAAAAGCGTGCACCACCACTGCCTTGCTATCACTTCCCTTATTTTTTTTTTAAAGATGTTGCCTTTATTTGTGTGTATGCAAACACACAGTAATGCCGGGCATATGTAATCCAAGGACAGCTTGCAGGAATTGGCTGTCTCCTTCCTCCATGGATCAAACTGGAGGGTCAAACTCAGGTTCTCAGACTTGGCAGCAACCTCCTTTACCTACTGAGCCCTCTCAATGGTCCCTCTTTTCTGTTTCGCCGTGGACTCGATTATTTTTCTTATCTCAGTGGCAAACATCCCCAGAGCAGCTTTCACTGCCAGCCAGGGTGGCCGCAGCCCTGCCACACCTGGAATATATCATGTCTGTCCTTCAGTCACCTGACCTGAGGCCAGATCCACTACCCAAGCTTCATCAGCCTGATTTCCCCAGTTCCTCATTTAGCACAAGTCTTGGGGGGCTGTGGGATGTTATCGGCTAGTCAGCATGAGGAGCTGCTCTTGGGGAATTTCCCCTCTTCATGTGTTTGAATGATCCAGGCCCTTAGAGCTCCAGGGCCCCCCTGGTCCCTGGCATGAAGCCCCGTACGCTCCTGTCCAGTGTCCTTCACAGCTGGCTTCAATCTCCTAATATTGTTTTTAGCATTTTTGCACGCACAGGCCCCTGGCTGTTCTGCACAGCTCTATCCTGTGGTGGGCTCATTTGAGTAGAAATTCTAGAAGCTTGCTTGAAGCTCCACCTGATGACTCACCAGACTCTGGCGACCCCTCCAAGAACTGCCTGTTGCCCTCCAGGACAGAGCACTGAGCTCTGGCCTCCTGCTCACCCCCAACTCTGTGGATTGCCCAAAGAGTCAGGTGGGGCCCTCCCTCCATGCCTCCCCTGCTGATCTGGCATCCATGGCTGAGGCCAGGAATCTGCCAACATTCCTGTTGGCTCTGGGACAGCAGGGGTGCTGTCAGGAAGCCAGGATGGAGGGGGCCACAGCAGACAGGAAGCAGTTAAGTTCTTTGGCAGCATCAGTTCCAGGCTTGGCTAGCTCTAGGACACCTGTGATGCAAACACCCAAGGACCACCCACCTGAGTGGTGCATGTAGCTGCGGTAGGAGGACCAGAAGCTGAAGGTGTCATCCTGGCTTCGAGGCGAATATAAAGCCAGCCTGGGCTACCTGAGACTGTCTCAAGTCCCAAACAAATTCAAGGTTCAAGACCTGGCCACAGTCAAGCCTCCCTTAGAACTGGGGCTCCCCGAGCATGACACTATCCACTAGAATCCCACTGAGGATGCTGTGTGACCTGTAGCCTGTGGCTGCACCTCTCTGGTTCTCCAAACTGTTTTCACCAAGACCTGGCAAGAGTTGAAATACAGTTGCCCTGGGAACCCAAAGCCTGACCAGACCCTGCTTTGTGCTTTTCTAAAAACCCAGGGTCCTTCAGGGGGAGCAACGCTCAGTTGCAGAGCACCGGTCAGCACATGTGAGTGGAAGGGTGTCATCCCCTCTCCCTCCATTGTGCAGTATTGAGTCTTGCCTCTGTGTGCAGCTCCAGAGGGCGGACCCCAGGAAGTCGGCCTGAAGTGCAACAGAAAAACAAATAGGAATCAGAATGGGAGAAGAAAGTGTGGAGGGCAGTAGGGAGCCATGGAGGGTGTGTGAGTGAGCCCCCATTGGAGTCTTCATGATGGGCGGAGGTGGAGTGAGGACAGACTGTGTCTGTGTCTCTGGGTACGAACTGGAGCTGGGCTGGTTACAGTGGGTGGCCAAGCTGTTGGCCTAGAGTTCAAAGCCCCTGTGCCCTGTGCCTGAAGCTCAGCGATGACACAAGTGCTGTCTGCTTCTTGATAGGGTAAATGATTTTCCTGAATTCACCCAGCATGAGTGGTAAGCCTGGGGCTTCGGGACTTTTCAGCAAACCGCAAGAACAATCCCACCATTTCTTCTGTAACAAAAATAAAAAGACAAACTGTAAGGGCTAGAGAGAGAGATCTGTGGCAAAGAGCACTTGCTGCTCTTGCAGAGGACCCAGGTTTGGCTCCCAGCACCCACATGGTGCCTCACAGCTACAGGGGATCCAATATTGCTTCTGACTTCTCCAGGCACCAGGCACACGCATGCACATAAAAATAACAAAATAAATATTTTTAAAAGAAAAAAACTTTCAAAGTGAACAAGATTTACATTTATTGAGCTGGACAAGGTGGCACACGCCTTTAATCCCAGCACTTGGGAGGCAGAGGCAGGTGAATCTCTGTGAGTTTGAGACCAGCCTGGTCTACAGAGCCAGTTCCAGGACAGCCTCCAAAGCCACAGAGAAACCCTGTCTCCAAACAAAAAGAAAGAAAGGGGGTGGGGAAGAAAAGAAAATGGAAGGAAGAATGTGGGGTTGTTTTTGGGATCTCCCCAGGTTCTGCCGCTGGAGCTGTGCCTTTAACAAGAGGACCCCACAGGTTACTGGTGGCCCATGTTTGATGCCGGCAGAGTCTGCAGATTGTCCCCATATTAGCAAGCACACAGCCCACATTATCCAGTGTAGCAGATTGCAGCTGGAGAGGAGAAGAGGGGTCAACCCCAGAAAGCAAACAGGCCCTTGGCCTCCCTTTGTGTCCCCAGGGGCCTCATCACGTGCTGGGCTTTGTGCCCATCCAGCCCACCTCACATCAGGCTCCAGGGTGGCTGCTGGGTCTGGTCCTTTCTCAAACATTTGTTTTGAGACAAGATGCCTGCAGGTGAGTCACGGCTAGGGCAGCTGAGGAGAGGGCTGAGGCAGGGCTGCAGCTGACAGGCCCCAGGGTCAGATGAGAATCTGGGGTCACTGAGGAGGGACTAGCATGAGTCCCAATGTTAGGTCTAGGCCAGGGGGCCAGGAATCAGCAGGGAGTCACATCCTGGGCTCTTGGAGGAAACTGACACATAAGACCATGGGTGTCAGCTGGGCACAGAAGTCCTCAGAGTGAGTGGCTCCACTGAACTTGAACAGGCCAGGGCTGGGGTGACTGCCAACAGTTTGGCAGTGGAACATTTTGGGACTTGGCAGGGGAGGGGAGACCTTAGTAGAGAAGAGGCCAAGTTCCTGTAGACTGGACACCATGATAAGTTTCATTTTACATCAGCTTTAATCAAACACAAGATCTAGGGGCTGGAGAGACAGCTTAGCAGCTAAGAGCACTGGCTGCTCCGCAGAGGATCCACGTTTGACTCCCAGCAACCCATGGTGGCTACAACCTTCCGGGACTCCAGTTGAGGTGATCTGATGCCTTCTTCTCACCGACGTGGGCACTGAATGCATGAGTGCACAGACAGACAAGACAGTCATACATATAACGTTTTAAAAATAAAATATACCAGGCGTGCCCCTGTCATCCCAGCATGGGGACACAGAGAAAAACAAGTCCCTCTGGAACTTGCTGGCCAGGCAGTCTAGATAAATTGGTGACTTCCAGGTTCCGTGAGAGAGCCTGCCTCAAAACAAGGAGGCAGAGGGGGAAGGAAGTCATGCAGAGCCAACCTCTGGGCTTCACACATTCAAAATAAACAAACAATTAACTTAGAAGCACAATAGAAAACAGTAACAGCCAGGTAGCGGTGGTGGCGCACACCTTTAATACCAGCACTCAGGAGGCAGAGGCAGGCGGATCTCTGTGAGTTCAAGACCAGCCTGGTCTACAAGAGGGAGTGTCAGGATAGGCTCCAAAGCCACAGAGAAACCCTGTGTTGAAACCCCCGCCCCCCAAAATCCTGCTAGATATTACCTGAATTCCAGTGGAAAAGAAAGAAATGGGAAGCTGCTTCTATCTCACCTGAGCATGGGGGTCGGGGTGGGGGGTGTCCCACCCCCAGCCCCTATGAGG